TGTTGTATACCTACAATGTACCAATAAAAGAATTTAATAAAAAATTTTAAAAAATAAAAAATAAAAATAAAAGCCTGTGGATATAGCTCAGTGACATAGCAGTGCTGAGTTTGATCCCTAGTACTTGAAGAAAAAAAACAGAATACATAAAAGATGCAGCTTTTGCCTTCAAAAAGAGATGACATCACAGTATAGACCAATGCTCATGTCTCATACAGGATACAAGAGTTTCCAAGAGCTTCCAAAAGTTGTTTGAAACCTTTTGTTCCTTCTCCTGGTAATATTCTGGTTTTTTAAAAATTTCATCCTGCTCAATCTCATAATTGAATTCAATATTCTTCTTCTGGCCAGTTTCCCCTAAGGCTAGATTTTCTTCTCATCTCCCAAGTCTAGACACACTTTTTCTGTCTACTTTCTGCAGTCTGTTCATTTCACTACTCTTTGGCCATTAGTAACACTTAATACTAATATTCTTTCATACTTGAAACACTCTTTTATTCTCCTACATGCTCCCTATTTACTTTCTCAAGAATCACTCTTTATACTAGTTTTAAGCCCAAAACTATGTATTTTGCCTTCACTTACAACATCTACAATTCCACCACACCTGCTGTCTTAAGAACCTTTGCGGTCAGATATTCAACTGTACCTTACAAAACATTGAAATACCCTCCACCTCTTTTTAATTTCCTTTATCACATCCAGACTCATTTTCTCAGCTTATAACTTTAGCCTATCTCCATCAATCTCTTAACCCTCAAGATGTTTTCCAATCACTCATCAACAGTAGTAATTATAAGAAACTCCATTCATTGAGCTCCCTTTATGTGCTGGGCATGTCTAGCTATTTTTTTTTTTTTTTTTGGTACTGGGGATCAAATTCAGGACTCTGTGCTTTCAAGGCAGGTGATGGAACCACTGAGCTAAATCCCGGGCCCATGTCTAGCTATTTTATATACAACTCTCCCAATAATGCTACAAAATAGGAATTATCTTGACACACAGAAATTAAAAAACTTAGTCATACAGCTTTATATAACAGAATCAGAATTCAAGTCTGATTTAACTACAATACCTATACTCATTCCAATATACTTTCTCCCTCATCAGTTTCTACTAATGGTTTATCAGCAACTCTCAAGTTCGACCTTGGCTATCATATTCCACAAGTGTCAGCCTACTCCAGGCCTTGATAAATTTTTATCTAGAGAAGAACAGATTCCAAGTAGGTCTGTCACTTTGCTCTTTACCTAAAACTTCAGAATAACAAGTAACACTCTTCTAAAGCATCACAATGGAAGGAAAGCCAATAATCATTTACAAGGGCCGGCAATTTAGCTCAGTGATTCCAACACCTGCCTCGCAAGCACAAGATCCTGAGTTCGATCCCCAGTACCAAAAAAATAAAAAAAATTTACAGAGCATTTATCATAATAGTGCACTACAAAGCTGCTTTCCCATCATGTGATAATGAACTTAATTTGCACAAAGCACTATTTTTTTTCTTCTTTTGTTTATTTTTTGAGACAGGGTCGCACTTTGTAGTCCAGGCTGGCCTTGAACTCAACTATGTAGCCTAGGCTTAGCCTCCAACTTGTAGTGATCCTCTTGCCTCAGCCTCCCATGTACTGGGATTATAGGCATGTGTCACCATGCCCGTTATTATATACCAGAAAACAAAGATTTAATTTTTTTTGTTTGAGACAAGGTCTTGCTATATAGTGCAGACTGGCCTTAAACTATGTAGCCCAGGCTGGCCTCAAACTCCCCAATCCTCCTGCCACAGCCTCCTGAGTACTGGGATTACAGGCGTGCACCACCATGCCTATCTAAAGATTATTAAAAATAAGAAATCCAAACTTCAGAAGTTGCACAACTTGTCCAGGGTTAAATATTGAGTCGGGATCTGAAACTCCAAAGTCAATTTCTTTTTCATTATACCACCCGGCCTATTACTAAAGAATCCATGTGGTTTACAATTCTCTGTGGCATCAAATCCTAAATAAAGTATAAATTAAGGTGTTGTAAAATTGCACTACCTTGGTTTCTCATTACTTAAAAGTATATTTTCCATTCCTTTCAAGGAAACCTGCGAGCCAATTCCCCCCACATTATTTGCTTACTTCTCTCTCCAAACTTTTTTCATTTTATTTTTAAGACAGAGTATCACTATGTGACCTAAGTAGCCTCGAACTTGTGGTCCTCCTGCTTCAACCTCCTTAGTGCTGGGATTCCAGGCCTATGCCCCTATGACTGCTTTCTCCAAATCTTCGGACAAACCACATTTCAAACCAAATGCTCTGCTTCTTCTCCACTAAATTGTTTTGGTTTCAAAATTCACCTCCATGAAACCTTGTCTAATGATCTCAGTCCACTCCCAGTTATTCCAAAGAAACACCTTTGTAAATCGAGCCATGCAAGGGGGTCAATGCCAGGGAAGGAGGAAACTATGAAGGCACCCGCGAAGGACAAAAGAACCTGATAATGAGTATCACAAAGTACTATGATTATATCAACTGAAGCCATCATCCTTTTCCTAGAAGCTAACACATAAAACTCAATTAGGAATCAACCCTCCAAGTACAGGATTTAGCTCAGTGGCACCACACCCACCTCACAAGCACAAGGTCCTGAGTTTGATCTCCCATACTGGCAAAGAACAAAAAAAGTGTAATAAAGGAATCACTCCTCCATCCCCTTTCTTACCATCCTGAGTCAAGAAAACTCAAACCTGAAAAGGACAGCTTCAATTGAAAATCAGAGCTGCTGCCACTTCCCCCTTACCTAAGCCAGGGTGCTAAAAATAACAGGTATGGAATTTGACTTAGTTATTCTGGCAGCTCATCAAAAACTAAATGTAACACTCTAGCCAGGCATTGTAGCACACACCTGGAATCCCAGCACTCTGGGAAGCTGAGGCAGGAGGATTATAAATTCAGAGCCAGGGATTTAGCTCAGTGGCACTGTGCCTGCCTTGCAAGAGCAAGTTTCTGAGTTCGATCCCCAGTACAAAAAAAAAAAAAAAAGATTATAAGTTCAAACCCAGCCTGGGCAACTTAGTAACTATGCAAGACCCTGTCTCAAAATATAAAAAAGGACCAGGCCTGGGGGCACACACCTGTAATTCCAATGTTCTGGAAGCTGAGGCAGGAGGATCGTCAAGAGTTAGAGGCCAGCCTGAGCTATATAACGAGTTCAAAAACAATCTGAACTGCTTAGTGAGACCCTGTCTCAAAAAACTAATAGGAATAGCGGGGTCAGGTGCAAATTTCCAATGATGAATGTCATTATATTGTATACCTAAAATGTACCAATGATTAGAATGAATGATCAATAATGCAAAATAGGAAGAAAAGGTCCAAAGGGGTAGGGGTAGTGGGAGGGGCAGAGGAAAGGAAAGAAGGGAAAGGAAAAATGATGAGA